TTCTATATATACGTTAATCCTTAACTTAGCGACGCTCTAGTATAAGGTTATACTTAGCTTAGTATATCCCTAAATAATCCGTAGGTCGCCGAGTTATAGGGAGGGGACCGTAGGACGGACGATACGTAGTTCTATATATACGTTAATCCTTAACTTAGCGACGCACTAGTATAAGGTTATACTTAGCTTAGTATATCCCTAAATAATCCGTAGGTCGCTAAGTTATAGGGAGGGGACCGTAGGACGGATAATACGTGGCTCGGCGACTCGGTGCTATAGGAAGGGGGTCTTAGGATAGGCGATACGTGGTTAAGGGGCCTTACGTGATTTAGCACTTATTAAACCTCCTAAAGCGTCCTTTTATTTTTAGATTATACTATCGATTCGATTAGAGTAGTAATAAAAAGTACGAATTTTAGTGTACTCTATAGTAGCTCCGCGGAATTTGTTAGTTATAATAGATTTTAAATACTAAGCTCGTAGAAACGCGAAAATATGCCCCTATCTAAATGCCTCGCTAGATCGCCTAAAAATTAAGATACAAAATTTATATAACGAATGTTAAATTAAAGAAACCCTTATACCCCTCACTTCGATCTATAGTAGACGAATAATTAGACAATCTAATTACGTATCTAGCACTAGAGTCTCCGTTAGTTAAATATAGGTTCCGGGGTTTAAGGTTTCGCCCGCGACCTATATATTCCTAGAGCCTATACTTTCGGGTCTAGATCTAATTAATAGAGGGAAAAATAATAACACCGAGCGATTATTATTAGGTTTTTTAATCGTGGCCTTTCCTAATATTCGCTATAGCGAAGCGAGATATTTCTAAATTCTATTTAGAAATTAGCCTACTTATAGTTCGGAATATCGATTTACCGGATTATTAGTATATCCTAGCTTCACTAATAATAGTCGCACTTTAGCTTCGCGAGCCTTATCTATATAAACTAGTTTATTTTTATTCCCCTTCTCTAGCTCTATTTATACGCTTTCGTAAACCTAAGAAGCTAACTCGGCTAATTCCTATAACGTATCGTCCTTAATTTTAGTCGAGGCTATAGCTTAGTGGGTTATAATTAGATAAATACTAGTGCACTATAGTAAAACGACCTCTTAGCACTATAGCTATAGTAGCTAAAAAAAATCCGAGTATTTACCTTTTATTAGGTGGTTACTAGTTGCTTATTAAATAATAGAATAAGAGGTGATTATTATAAGACGAAGTCTAGCGGCGGGGTAGAAAGGAAGCGAGGATAGTTTAATACCCGATCTTAGTTTCGGCTATAGGGCAACTAATTTCCGAAAAGGAACTCTAATTTTGCTTTATATATATATATAACTTTTTCTATAAATATTTCTATATTAATACCTTATTTATTCTATTATATTATCTAAGGGTAGGCCGCTAGTATATCCATATTTTCCTAAACGAGATTCTAAGGAATTATATCAGAGGAATTTAAGGTTTAGTAGCTATTATCGGATTTATAAAGAAGATTGAATAGCGGCCTCTATATAAGAAGTCCCCCTAGGTGAGTACTTAAAGGCTCGGAAGACTATTAGCACTAAATGTCTACCGTGTAAAATCGTAAACGTCCTCGGATTTATATAGCAAATCTAGGTCGTCTTAGTTTCTATCAAAATTTCGACTATAGTTTTCGTTATATAAATAAGCTTACTATCGCCATATTTATAAGTATAGAGAGATATAGAAAGCTAGCTAGGTTATCTAGAGTAACTAGTCTATTAAGGACTATCCCACTTTTTCTAAGATATGTCAATTTGTATAACGGCTTAGGTTGCATCCTTTATAAGTGACTAGCCTAATGCTTAGTTAGTAGTCATAAATCTAAGATTCGCGATCGATATATACTAAATTCCCGGATAGGACGGAAGATCTAAAGCAGATTAGTTAACTTTCTTATAGTATATATTCTAAATGAAAAGGCTATAGTATGTCTCTATCGATAAGGTTTTGACCACCTCTATCCATCAGATGGTGTATAATAAAGCGCTTGAGATGACGATGACTTGACAGTCTATCTGTAAGGGAAGTTCAATAAGTGGGTATAGGAAGCGTTAGAAAGAGAGTCTCTAAGTCGGAAATATTTTGAATAAAATTGCAAATATCTTTTAAGACTATTGAGATTGAGAGTAAGTTCGAAAGATTTCAATTTCATTGGCTTTCCAGAATTTAATATCATTCGTAACCAGTCAGGAGTACTAGGCTGAGAGTCCGCTGATGAAGTTGATGCTATAGCTGAAGTGCCATGCTGAGAGTCCGCTAATGCAGTCGTAGAAGTACTCGGCTGAGAATCCGATGATGTGGTCGCTGGAGCATCGCACAGCGAAGTCGCCGAGCCAATGAAAGCCTGGCTAGTTCCATGGTTTAATGCAGCTGAAAGTCGAAAGGATGGGGACGGAAGCACGTATTGGACCCCGCACCACACTCTGGATGGGGCACCGGATCGACGATTATTTCTGTAATAAGACCCTATCCGACCAGCGTCTCATCACTTGGGTGAGTCTGCAGTGACTGTCCCTAGACAAAACCAGTTTTAGTTTGTCGGCCGCTCTTGTTTGGTGAGTCAAACCTTTTGGTGTCGCAACTAATTGGGCGACAACAGAATGGTTCCGGTTCCTGAAGTGCGCTGTATCCTGATTACTGAGCATGAAGAGCAGAAGCTCGCGGTTTGAGAGCCTATTCATCAAGGACAGGAAGCTTCTATCGTTGGTCTCCCGAGTCTACTACCAAACGTCACCATCTATGGCACTGAAGAGAACTAATAGTAGTATTTGTAGGGCCAGAGAAATACTTTCTGTATCTAAAGAGAAGGTAAGTAAGTTATCAAATTCCAGAAAGTCGGCTTGTCGTCAAGTAAACAAAGGTGAAGCTGAATATCCAGTTAATATTACGTATCTAGACATGCTTGCTATTCTTCAGCATTGGGCGCTTTTATAAATCAAATGCCCAAGAGAGTCAATTGGCCATGCGATAGTAAAAGGATAGAGCAAAGAGAAAAGCATCCACACGCTCCCTTCTCTAAATTACCCAATTTTACCCGGGCATTCTGATGACCCGGGTATTTGTGACAACCGTCCATCCCGTGCCCAGGGAAGCAATGGAACTTTACAGTTCCCTCGTCTAGCAGGAGTTCTGCACTGATTGCATGAGGATAAATGCTAGGCCTGTTGAAGGGAGAAGCAGTGGAAGCAACAGACATGTGGCGAAGACCACGCCTGCAGTGGTGGTTCGCTTACAGCGATATTCGAAATCAGATTACCCGATATATTCTGTAGAATAACGGACTGGAAATCAATAAGACATTATTCTGAAGAAGATCAGATAGAAGTGAACAGGAAATGCAAACGCCTCGCAATATCTACCTAGCTTTAAGCTAGCCGTATCTCTTGCCACAGCACAGTTCCAAGGCTCTTAAGGAAACATAAAAGAGGAACAAGGAAAATGCATATGCAGACATGTTGGAAGAAATAGAAGGATCCAAGTATGAAGGCGGTGTTCCTTCTCCGGGGGTGCATCTCCCGTTTGAGCTTGCACATCACATAAATTGCACCAGATGCTGTCTAGATGCATGACCCGGAAATGTCGCTTCCCATTGCTTGCTTAATTTCTGCCACTGTCGCTGCTTTTCCTCCAACATCGGACATTGGCTCTCATCCCACGCCACATTAGTTGTCATATCCACTGGCATGTATTGTACATCCAGCGATTCATACAACTGCCTTGTGACAGCCCAGGGCACTGGTTTTCCTTTCTGCGGGTTCAGCTCGGGTAACTGAAACCTATATCGTCGAACAAGGTATGCGCGTAAATGAGACTTTCGTCCGTTGTCCCCAATAGCCCCCGAGATGATCGCCGTTAATAGGCTTGGAGTCTCGTAGGATTGTATCACCATGTCGAGTATGAAGAACTTTTCATGTTCAATAGCGAACTGAAGGATCAACTTCACCGCGTACGGGGCCAGTGGCCCTTTTGCTAGGCGGATTACATCGTTGTAGATATTGGTCATCCGGTGAACCCAATCCCGTGGCTCGGGCGAGCTTTGGCCTCTGGAATTGAGCTCCGTAGCGGCACGGAGGAGGAGGATCCCCAGTCTGCGGTGAATTGAGTCATAGCTATTTCCTTTCACCCCGTGCCCTCCTCCCTCGTCGCCATCTTGGGCAAGTTGATATCGTGTTTCCTCATGATTCCAAGACCATCCAGGCCCCTCTTCATTTGCTTCCCGATCAACCCCGGGGCTACATCTAAGGAAGTCACCGAGGTGGTCATCGGTGACATTGTCGAAGTCGAGTTCTGGGAGGAGGATTTCCATCATTTCTATCCGGTACGAAAGCCAATCGGTCCAGCAACAGACACTAAACCGACCATCTGACAGCTTGACCCCTCCTGATTTAGTAAGGTGGGACAAAGTTAAAAATACCAGCGCTGAAATGTTTTGCAGTACTTTGGGCTCCAGGTTGCACGGAACAAACGACCCTTGCCACCACTGCTGAATCCTATCATAACATCTCGGGAGGTTCAGGCTATACTTGGACCAGTACGACTTTAATCGGATCGTGTGCTCTGACAATGGGTCGCTATCTTCCTCACTGGAGTCCTCGGCGGTGAAGTATTCGCTGTCATTGTCCGAGGACCTGTTAGACTGGGTCTCCGGTTGCTTCATATTGGTATGAAGGTATGTGTCCGGCTCGGTGGCGTCTGAAGCGTTGAATGGCGCCTCCATAGAAGCAGAAAAAGAGATAAGGCGTTGCACTGGCCGCAAGCAGGCACTGCAAAATGAAGTAGCTCTTGTCGTCATGTGTTCATCGATACATGGCTTGCAAAAGATGTGATTGCACGGGCGCATTCTGACCATCAATTGTCAGCTTATGTATGGGGAAGGGAGGTATCTCAAGGTTGACTTACATGGTATCTGCCAGGTTCTTCTCGCAGAATATGCAAATTACAGGCGATCCGCCACTGAGGTTCTGCTGCGGGCCGATGGTAATCTCTCTGTCAATCTCGCTTACACTCCGAACGTTTGGCAGGACTCTGTTGCTAACTCCTCGTTGATTCTCGACTACGTGATATAGGTGATAAAACGGTATCCGCGCGTTCAGGTAGTCTTTGAAGGTCGGTGGAACCCCAGGAGTTTGCTGACCAGTAACGGCCTTCCATGCCACGGAGTTCAGGATCTGGATGTTGAAGAAGCTAGCAGCGGTCCAGTTCCACGCCTCTGGGTGCTCATCAACGTAAATATCCTGGAAAATAGTGCCTCCGGTGGCTAGCCCAAGTTCCCAGCCTTTCGATTCCGCGCGGGTACGAGAGCTAGCAGACAGCGGAACTGCGGAGTGGCCAGGAATATATTCATATCCCTGGCAGGCGACGGAAGCCCCGTCATGCAAGAAGTTGTAGAGATAAGCATGCGGGACATCGCGTCCCTTGCCGAGCCCCTGAAGCTGCTCGTTGTTGTAGAACAAGGCGATTTCTAAGTACTTGAGCTCTTGGGCAACTAGACGGAACAAATGGACATTGCTCATAAATGGGGAAACACGCCAGGTCAGTGCTTTCGGGGTTGCGTCATGCCGAGAATCGGGCCTAAAGCCGAATGAAGTTGGATGAGTGCCGATATCTTGATAACCCTGAGCCGGTCGAAATACCGAAGTGTGAACAGTGGTGATTGTAATGGTGTACTTGAGGATTGGCTCCAGTGGAACTGATTCCAAATGTTTGAGCTCTGTAAGAAAGGGGGCCATAGTTTCATGAAGCAAGACGGCTCGCTCAGTATCTGGATGTCGCCGAACTATTTCCTGCCTTGGGGGGTAGGACTGTACGACAAATCTGAGGCCGAAACTCTCATCAACACACAGGATGTTCTGCTCATGCTTCGACTGACGATGATGTTCCGTAATTTTGTCCCCTGAAATCAGCAAACAGCTAGAGTTGCTTAGCCCCAGTTCGAATGGTGACTTTGATTGTTCTGCTGCTGGAATGTTACGCCTTCCTGAGCCTTCCTGGAAAATCCCTCGTTGAGTGAACCTTGGCGCGACGATCATCTGTATACCTCCGATATTCGCTTTTCCAGTCAGTTGTTCCTCGACGGAGTACCCACCACCAAGTGGCATGGAGACAAACTGCCCCACGATACTGATCCCTGCTTGTGGAAAGAAGCCATCGATGCGGTGCTGGGCAGGAGCCACGGTGTAGTCCTGGATAGACGAAACAGTGCCCTTTCCTTCTTGAGACCCAGAAATGGCATTGGCGCCGCCAGAGAGGATCTTGACTGCGTGGGAGGCGTTATGTGACCCGTGAAACCCGATAGAGAGGGCCTCCCGCTGGTACATAGGGACGACCAGCCCACCCCTTTCAGCCATCGTGCTGGGTAGCTTGTCTCTCAGAGCGGAGGTTTCAACGATGGGAAACTCTCCCACCCACATTGGAAGATTGTAAGTGGTGCCATCTTCGGGGACTCGAAGAGTTCGATTCAACGATACCTCCATGGGCTGAGACATCTCCTCGTCTTCCACCCTGATCCTTCCGTTGCAAGCTGTAATTCGTGGTCTCCGTTTTGGCTTCCCCGATCGGGCGAGCGTCTCGTAGAACTGCTCAAGTGGTTGGTTCTGGTTGATCCGTAATCCCTGCTTAACGGTATATATTGATGGTCCATCTGAAACGTACAAAGGAACTGCTGCGTTCAGGGGGGCAATTGGTGCTAGGAGATGGTCCCGGAATCGGAATCCACAAACGTCGCTATATCCTACGCCCTGTTAGAGACTCGTATGCATTCTGGGTTCACCTTATGGTTGTACCTCTATCTTGTATCTCTTGAACTGCTTTCCACAGTGGATCCAATGGTGCAAGACTTATCTTCTGCTCGCTGGGCAAGGCACAGCCATTCGAAGGATCTGATCCCTGGAGATTCTGCACATTTAGTTCGACGGTACTCAGGATGAACGTATCAAGGAGAGAGCTTGCAGGCCGTGTCCATCCGTCTTTATTCACTTGGTCTGTGGATGGCAGATAGGGGCTCAAGGTATTTGCTGGCACACCGAATGACGCCAACCACGAGTCGAAAGATTCAAATGACGTGACGTTTGCCATGTCATAGTCTTCCGATCCTTGCTCCGAATTGTTCATCCCACAGCTGCCTTCTGTCGAACTGGCATCGGAGTCCAGGTCATCAAAATTGGCGTTGTCTTGGGTTTGCGGCGTTATGAAGCTGGAGCTGGCTTCGACGTACTGCTGAATTGGATGTGTCCAGAGTGAGACGGGACGAGCTTTCTTCAGCTGTAGTCGAATTTCCTCGAGAATCACGGTGGCAGACTCGGGAATCCGGTCCCTGTACCCAGATCAGTTTTGCCCGACAGAAGGTTGGCATACCGGCTGCTTACATGGTTCTCACTTGTAGAGCAAGACCCAGGGTCAACTTGAAGGCAGCGAGCTCCGTGCGCAACTCCGAGAGTGTCTCCATTTGCGCCTTGAACTTCGAGTATGAGAACACTCGCCGCAGTACACCTTTGGAGAATCCATCATGCAGCACCGACAGTTCGGTGAAAATCTCGGAAACGGCCTTTTGGCAAGCAGATATGATTTTCGACAATGCCTCCTGCTCTCCATCCTTCCCGTCGTCGTTGCTATGTTGTCCTAAACGTTCCAGAACGATTTCCAGGGCAGCCAAGTCGTCGGCAATCTTCCTCACAAGGTGCGGCTTCGATTTGACGGTGCTGTAAATCTTCTCGGAAAGCTGCTTCACATCCTTGACGAAGAGAATCAATCCGGCAACGGTGGCAGTAAGGCTCACGGGGTCCATGAAGGAAGGTTCTTGGCCAAGCCTAGCAGAGGTGGGGAGAGATGCGTTGTGTGGAAGAGGGAACAACGGACACGATATTTGTCTGCTTTGGTGCAGGAAGACGGAAGAACACAAGAATCAGGCGTGGGTTCCAATGGTAGCTGGACCCAATCGGGGGGGAAGGGAAGGTGGTGCACAGTCCGTGCGCTGAGAAGAGCATTTAAGAGCATTTCGATTGACGTAGCCTTTCAGCCAGCCGCACATACCACCGAGTCGTACTCTTGCAGTTGCTGCTGATCCTGCTGCGTAGATGGCCAAGAGGCGCAGCACTTTTAGTTCAGACGCTGGCTGTCTTAGGAGGCGGGGCAGCGGTCCAATATTCTTATCATATCTCCCCAACATGTGGGGCAGAAGGAAGGCTAAGTGGGGGATCAGCGAGCGACGCGCAATGGAGTGGATCCCAATGGCTGAGAGCATGAGGAGCCATCTAAAGCGCACCCAGTTCTCGCGCGACGTCGCAGGGGGTCTATGCTGGTCAGCAGCGTGGATTGGCTAAAACATTAACCCACTAAATTGACATGCTGCCTGAAATGCAATCGAAGGAGGGATGGCATCTTTTATATATGGGGTTTCCCATATCCGCCTGTACGAGGACAATGTCCGCACAACTTCACGACTTTTTCACACCCCAGAAAGTCTTTCAGGTGTTCCAGTCTAACGATGTCTGCCAGAGTCTGCATTACCAATATCGACATGTTTACCGACAATATCTGGTGGTTTGGTGATTTTTGCTGGATTAGTACTCTCCAGCAGCATGGGCAAGAGGTAGCTGGGGAGGTAGCTGGGGAGGTAGCTGGGGAGGTAGCAGGAGGTAGCAGGAGGTAGCAGGAGGTAGCAGGAGGTAGCAGGGAGAGTAGCACCCTGGGCTCCTGAGTGTCCTCCAGTTTAAAATAGAGGAAGAATCATAGCCGTTTGACTGTCTAATCCCAGCTTCTCACCCAACTCGTGAGGTCCAAGAGACTATCTGAATACACATATCATGGCACCAAAGTCCAGAAAGATCCAGCATCGCCGCAGTGAGAGTCGCAAGTCAAAACGCCCAACAGCGGGCCCGCAGAATAGACTCTCTTTTTCTGAAATCTTTCGAATTCTGCCAGGAATGCGACGCAAATATCATACTGTTAGTTCGGTTAAAGCACAATGGTCAGATCTCGGTCTTCAACTCTGATAGCCGATGGAATCCCTCACAGGAGGAACTAGTATGGCCACTCTGGGACTTGCTTGATTATATGTTCCTGACGAGATGCATGCAGGCCATGTGTTATCCAAAACCAAAGCGAATAGAGTGGCAGGAGTTAGCCGCCAAATATATGACTGAACCATCGCCAGAAGCACTTCGTGACCAGACATTTGACTGTGCAATGAATGGAGGATTGATAGAGCAGCGTTGAGCGCGTTGAATTCGAACCCCATCTGGGCCCTTGAGCTGGACTCAGCATGCTTGCAAGGTTCTGACGCCTCAGAAGATTTGGTTCATCTACGGACGACTCGGGACCACGAAGTCGTACATTAGTTTCCCTGCGACTTCCATCATTCAGTGCTAATATATGCCATGACGGCTTATCTGTGTGGTGTTTAAGTGCCTATCTTGCAAAAGTTTCGAAGGAACATACCTGTCACTAACTGAGAACCCTGGACGCTTTCGAGCGTGATAGACTCAACACATCCCCAAAGATTCTTAAACATCACATGGGCGAGGTCACCTAATTCCTGTCGAAAGCAGACGTTTGAAATACCTCTGTCTCGTAGGTCTTGGATCCATTGTGACCTTTGGGGCCCATCCTCATGGAGTAGCCTTAAACTGCAATATTTTCAACGTGAGAAAGTCATTGTCGGGTTTCTGCACTTACTATTCTTTTCCAACATCCCCTGGCAAGCAGAATAAAATCCCAAGATACCGGTACCCATCATCAGAACTATCATCAATATCACGGCACAGGTTATCGATCTTGCTTCCTTCTTTCGACCATTGGATAATGTTCTCCTTAATATCATCTTGATCATGGCCCACTAACGAAGATTCTAAGATGATGTTGGCGAGAATTTCCGAACTGTGTGAATGAAGCCTTTGTAAACCTAATTTATGTTTCAGCTTGAAAAAGAGAACCTTCAGGAACCGCGATCGAATCAAGTCATTGTCTCTGCGATGCTCGAAGTGCAACAGACTTCGATAAAAGAAGCTCAGAGCAGGCGCCTCAAAGTCGACAATTGTCTCATCGGCATTGAGGAAATCAGACGGATTTTTCGTCCAACGAGAAATATTACTCGAAATGGAACTGGGGACGCAAATTTGAGCTTTTGTGGCACTTTTTCTTTTGCGAGGCGGGCGGGGTTGTGATGATTTCAAACGCTTCGCGGGTTTTCTTGCTGTGTTGCCGTTGGTGATGCGAGTATCGTGAGTTGGGGAGTTCCCAACGACGATTCTTCGAGCATCTTCGGGAAGGTGTCTCCACGAAGACTTGAGGAGTTGAATCGTCTAAGGTCCCTTAGCCAATTGCCCGGATGATCACATAGCTGACACGTGTACTTGCCTCTGTCTCCTGCAAGATCACGTCTATCCGAGTAGAGCCTTGCGTTTCTGCCTCGTAGCAGATGTTTTGCAGCTTTTGAAGGAGAATCTTACTTTCTACAAGACCCATCTTCTAAGACTTGTCTTGCGGTTAAGGCGAGCAATGCACGGTAGGTGAAAGATTGAGGGATAAACGGGCGGCTGGTCAAGAAAAAGAGAACAAGCATGTGACTTAACGTAACGATCCCTGTCGTTGCATTAGCGTCTACAGCCATTGGGGGTTTGCAGTTGAACAGACAGTAGAACCAGTATCTTGGCTTTATCAGTATATCAAGTGTATGTTGAATCTTTGCCAAAACACACATACATATATACAAACTGCGCCTCAACGTGTCTGATCGAGACGAGGGGCCGAGAGGTCGGCCAAGTCTGATTGTGCTATCAGTTCAAGACACGGAATGTAGCTAGCGCAGAAATTTAACCGCAATCCCTAGCCAATCGTTTGCAGTACTCAGGGAGTACGCCATGAAGTGATCAATTAGCAAAGTTCTGGCGTGAATGTGTGCAGATTCCAGGATACGAATGCTGCGGTTCGTGCGGTTAGCGCGCTGGCCGGAAGCATGAACGGAATATCGAGAGGAACTCGGAACTTTTGTATTGCCTGGCTCTAAGCCACTTGACTTTCGTAGTCCTATTGTTTATTCAGAACTCGTAGGGTCTGGTCTGCACACCTACTAGAGCTAGCATTCGGAAATTACCCCGTCGGCGTAGTCGAAAGTCATAAGAGGCTGTGTGCAGATGCCGAGACACTGACTATTTGAGATGGGGCTCATGGCCTAATGATGTTCTACTCTAGCTCAGCTTAGAGGGTTAGTGCGGCGGTCGCGCCAGGCCTAACCCCTTTACTATAGCTCTTCCTTCTAATTAAGTATTCTAGAGGGGTTGGCGGTGAAGATGGTTATTTATTTGCCGGTACCTATAGGCTAATGGTCATATAACTTAGTACCGTATACACCTCTCACACTCTCCTCTTCCGACCTACTAGATTCTACCTCTTATCTCCTTTTCTTTGCCGTAACTCCTTAACGGCCGACAATAGTAAAGGAACAACCTATCTATAATATCGGTCCATTTAGATTAAGCACTAGAAATATAGACACGTAGTTGAATGTTTATATCTCGAATAAACGCTTTAAAATCGATCTCTTTACTTCTAGCTTCGAAAGCTCGTCTACCCTCTTAGCCGAATATCTTCGACACGTTTAACGTTAAGAACTAGAATAGATTCCTAATAAGTCTAAGGTCGATATAGATAGGGAGTTTAAAGACCCCCTTAATAAAATATATAATTAGGTCTTATAACTATTTCTACTAATTTTCTACGAAATTACTCCCCTAGACCCGAGCTAAAAGTATACTCTCGAGGACTATCTATTTATAGAAGAATTACACTACACTATATAGGTAGTGGGAGATAACTTAGTTCCCGTTTATCTTAGTAATACTAAAAATATAAAAAATCATCTTATCGGGGCTCGTTTACTATCTTCTATCGACTACTCTACTTTTCCTATCTACTATCCTAGGGAAGTCTAGGTTCTAATTAGTGCAAATTTAGCTACACTACTAGGAATATCTTATAAGGTATTTATTTATAGGCAACTATAGCCTAGCTTCTTTAAGATAGTCTATAGGGGTAACGTAGGTATTACTATAAGAGAGATTCTCACTTATTTAAAGATTCGTATAGCTAAATTCGATCCCCCGATTCTCACGTTATAACTAGAAGGGGTAGTCTAGGATAATAATAGGTATATTATAGGATTAGTTTTATTATATATTAATTATAATAGAGCTACACTTAATTATATTAATAGATATAATCCTAAATTTTCCGAGCTCTAATAAAAATAGGTTAATTAGATTTCGTATATAATTAAACTCTTATATTTATATAATATTATTTAGGGAGATATTAAGGTAGCTAATATACTTATTAATATTAATAAGGATATATACCTAATTAATTTTAGAGGAGGTTATACTAAAGGTTAGGTTAAGAAGGAGAAGTCTAACTCGACTAAGGGAGATCTCTAGGGACTTAAAAATATTAAGTAGTACCTTTTTAGATAAATACTAGATAACTACTATTATTCTAAGCTCCTACTATCTACTATTAGTTATTACACTCTCTTATATAGGCTAAGGTAGCTAGCTAAGATAACTTCCTTTACTCTTTTTATATATTAATCTATAATTAGTTTATAATACTTAGTACTCTATACCTTTACTAGTATCCTATAGTTAGTAGAGCTAAGATAGTTCTTAGTTTTAGACCTAAGCGCTAAAGGTTTAAAGCGGTAGCCGCTATATAACCCCTTAATACTATATTATTAAGCTAAAAATAGGATAATAATTATAGATATATATAAAGAAGCTTCTAGGATCCTCTTCTTAATTAAAATAATTAACGAAGTTATATTTAAAATATTATTTATCTAATTTATATTATCGTTTCTATCGATAAAAGTATTCTATATATTATTTTCTTTAGTATTTATTAAGAATAATATATAGTCGCTAGTATCGAGTCTATTATTATAGATATCGAATTCTCTAATAAGGTATAATATATTATCGTTATACTAGAGTTAACTAAAGAATAGGGAGATAGATAATATATAGATAGGAGAGAACTATTATAGATATTATAATTAATTCTCTATATAGTAATATATCTTACTTTATTTAAGACCTAATCCGTATAGGCTAGGAATACTATAATTACTATAGTAGGAATTATAGTCTTAGGGAATTTTATATAGGTATAGTTCTCGTTAGTGCTAATCGAAGCCTAGTAGAATACTAATATTACGCTTATTATTAATACCGCTATATATAGAAAGATAATTATATAGCTAGTCTATAGTCTATAGATTATTCTATATAGTAGAATATATAAGCTAACCTTTAAAGGGATAATTCTTAAACACTATCGAACTAAGATATATAGATTACTAGATCTAGAACTAATTAACGTATACCTTATAATAATAAAGATAAGCTCGGACTTATAAGAGAGTATATATATCGCCTATTTAATTAGTTTAATTAATATATACTATTTATAATAGGATATATATATTAGTATAGATATATTAAAAGGGCTATAGCGAGTCTATAAGGTAATAAAGCTATAATAACGAATTAAACTAAAGATATATCTTATTTTAGGGCTATATATAGATACTAGGGGCCGAAGCGTTTTAGGTTTAACTTATAATCTAATCGTATCGCGCTCTATATCACTTAAGGAGGTTAGTGCGGGCGTTACGCTACCTAAGGTGATTCTTACCCGCTTCTTACCCGCTTCTTACCCGCTTCTTACCTAGCTTCTTACCCTATCTATAGCGTACTATTAAAATATCCTAGTTACTAAGATAATAATAAGGCTAGGATTATATATATATATATATACCTATTTACTAGCTAAGATAGACCTTTTATACGAGCGTGGGTCTTATCCTATAGTTCGACTTTTTTATCTACCTTTTCTTATTTCGGCTAATAACGGATACGGATAGGTAGTGAAACTTAAAGGATAGTTCTCTATAGTCTAATACTTAATAATAACTATAAACTTTACTATAACGTAATAAAATAAATCTTATAATTATAGAGAGGTACGGTCTATTATTTATTAATAATTTTTAACTCTAACTTACGCTATATCCTATAATACGTTATCTAACGTTCTATACCGCTAAAACCCGCGCTAGATTTAAGCACTAAACCTCGCTACGGCCCGCTTATCTCCCGCTATAAGTCATCCGAAGCCCTATAAATATAAGGTTTTCGGGCTAGAACCTTTTACCTATAAGTGGGTTAAGGTTTATCTCGAGTAGACTATAGGCTATTAAATAGCTAGGATATCCGTAGTATATATATCTAACGACGGTTTTCGCTAGGATTTCTTAAGGTATTCTAGTCTAGCCTATAATAAAGAGAATTAGACGATAAGGTAGGTAATAAATATTAGTTTACTAACCGTAGGTAGCTAAATCAGCTAAACGCGAAAACGACGTATAGGGTAGTAGGAGCGTATATAAAAGCAACGTACCTAGGTTACCTAAAACAGCTTAACGACTAGAGACCTCGTATAAGATATCAATCGGGTATATTATCCTAGAGACCTTAACCCAAGCTAGTACCTATATCTGCATATAAGAGATATAGTTCTTATACCCGGCCAGAGTTCAAACCCCGTATCCCTTAAAACAAACCACAAATACGTTCAACGCCCATAATTCTAGTGGAATAGCCTATTTCTACGTAAGTCATAGGAAACACGGTTAGAAATTCTGTCACCAGAACAAACGTTAAATAGCTACGATCATGAAGGTGAATCATCGATCGACTATCTTATAGAAAACCGTAAAAATTTGTGCAAAATAGCTTACTGCAGGACTGCATGTCCCGCTCAAGGTCCAGATATCAGAGCTGTTTGCGGATTTGGCAAGTCTACCAGATGTATGACAGGATAGTTCCGTGAGGCTAGGTTGCAACTCTTAGATCGTAGAACCATATCACTAATGAGTGAAAATATGGCACCGCAGCTCAAGTTTGCACCCATGGCACGGCGCCAATTTTGGTTAGAGCGTATACGTCAATAGCTTCTCGTCGACATCATACTTAACTCACTTGCAAGCATGATAATATGAGATGACAAGAGGAGATCATTTCCGGACATCCTGGTGACCTGCGGACTAGATACGACCTTCAGCCTCCGAACATAAATAGGAATGCCTCTCCCCGTAGCCCAGAGCTATGAGTTCAACTCAGTCAAGTTCTCTAGCCTGCTCTCACGCGCCTATCCTACTTAGAGTGAGCTAGGTCGACATTCATTATTGCACAACCCAACTCGAAAACACCGATAACCGATATGAATTATCGCAGCAGTCAGCTACTTGCTTCAGACCCTGAGATCCGTGCGGATCACTTCGTGGGTAAATCTCTAAGGATTACCGACGCAAAAAGGGTTGGTTTTATGTTACGCGATAAGTGGCTCACGCTCCGGGACCACAGTGCTATCACCACCTTAGTGGCCGAGGTCGTGAGTGAGCGGACTTTTCGACTGCGGGCAACTGCTTTTGGCGGAAATAATTACGTCCGAATCGACGGCGATAAGTTTAGGGCAGATGGAAATGCCTCAAATGCAGTCAACTTCAGCGCGAGAATGACTGTGCTCGGGCAGGAATTGTTCTATAATAACGATCGACCTGCCATCTTTGACCGATATCATGATGTCGCGGTTGGACCGTGGACACCCACTTCTGCAAAGTCGCAAGTCCCTATCCTCATTTGGTCGGAATCTATTGCGGATATTTGGTCAGCGCAAAGTCAGCAAGAAAACAACGTACCAGGAATGTCGAACAGACAATTTCCGACTGCCGAGATTGCGTATGCGCACGCAATGGACGAGTAACAGAACCCTTGTGCGAAATAAACGGAGCCATGAAGGTGAGGACCTCAGTGCAAATGCGTTGTGAAGTGCTAACAGGAACTGCCAGCGTCGAAGTGTTCCTCTAGTAATGGAGTTTGTGACGGGAGCGAGACATGGACGTTAAGGCTTCGTGGGACTTCGACATATGTGATGTTTTGATCAATTATCCTGACCTGCCTTGATTTGGGTTTTCTTCCTAGTTTTAGGGTTTCCCCGTCTCTTCATGCAAATGCAAAGGCATATTCTTTTACAATGGTCACTAATTTAACTTCATCAGCGTCACTTGCATGCCAAGTAGCTAATTACCCAGAACCCACTTGACGTAGTTCCTAGTTATGGAAACTAGTTCTTATTGTACACCGAGCCCTTCAGCAAGGGGAATATGGCAAAGTCCGCGACAGTCAGCCGGCCCAGCGCCACGAACCCGTTCTCCGCGGAGGCAAGATGCTTCTCCAGCACGGCCCGCAGACACTCCACTTCGGCCTGGTAGCGCACGATCACGGAGCTGTTGGGCTTCTCGACGTGGGCACCCTCGTGGAAGATGAGGAACCAGACCAGTTGGCCTTGGTAGGGGCCCATACCGGATACCTGCCAGGCGAGCCATTGGTTGACGGTGTTAATGATCAGAGGTACAGGTTTTCGGGTCGGATGAAGGGCACGAATCCGGATGTCCGGCCTGTTCGCGAGTTTTGGCAAGTCTCAATATTCTAGTACTCTACAGTTGAACCAGACTTTTACCCGAGAAGACAGAATCAAATAGACAGGCATCAAATCATAACATTAATCAATTTTGAGTGTACATAACATCATCAAACTTTCCAACCCTTAGAACAATTTGATAGAGGGTTGACCGATAGCATCCAGCTGCCATGTCAAACTAATACTTTCCCAACAACCTTTCCCGCAATCCAAGAGAAAGAGCCAGTTTCAACATTCGAGCCGCATCTCATACTAGCCTGTGCCTCCGCACCTACATGACCTAGGGAGGGTTCGAGCCCGTCAAACCTGCACCCTGACCCTGCTGGGGAGGGGCAACACCTGGACCTTGAGGCTGTGAACCACTGCAAACTTGACACTGCTCGAGGCCCAGGGTTCTCCTACCACTAGCAGTTGATATTAATCCAAGGATCCCACATTACCATGCTATAGCACCATGCAAAATCAGCTAAATATCAATTATAGCAAAACATTTCCCGGTAAAGTTGTCTATAAACATCAGCCATTAGATCTTTTGTCTTTTCACGTTGGATGAAGGTGGATGCGTATAAAACATGAGTACAGTATGAACGCTATATGAAGTCTTTGGTCTTTTCGAGTGCCCCCTAGACCAAACATTCACGACCCAGCACTAGAAACTGCCGAGAATTTTCATAATCTCTGGACCGGGGACCGACTGTGTTCAAGCATTTGAGCCATTCTTGCCTGAGAGTGACGTGTTTGTGCCATATAAACAGCATTTTCTCTTCGTTGAATAATGTGCGGTATGGGGACATTGTTTCCTTGCACGCTTAATGAGCGGAAGAAAAAGCTTGCATATACGAAAATGAAAGCTGCTTTTGATTCTGCAAATTTGAACTCTTAGATCGAGTATGTTCCTAGAAAAGGGACTCGTCACTCGCTGGTGAGTAAAGTTTGATCACTATTGGAGGGCTCAACGGTAGATCGCCGGAGTCAACGAAGCTAGCGGTAGACGTGAAAGCAGCCTACTCAGTACATTTACCAGAGCGCTTAAATCTGTTTAGAATGTTGACGATTTTGGGGCCGACTCTTATTGTACGGTCTCTAGTATTTTGTACACACCATTTGCATTAGAAGCATCATAAAGGTACCCAGTATTGACGCACTTTGTGTATCTTACCCACTCGCATCATTGATTATTTCAGGGCTATAGCCAATGCCGAATGATTTATGCAGGATCGCCATCCCCTGCACGCCGATGGTCAACTGCTGCATATTTTCTATGCAAATTGGGCATAGGCACTTCTGTCGATCTCAATAAACTTGCAAGCCGCCCCTCCTCTTCTACACGTTCCTTGAGAATAAGCCCAGCTATAGCCGGCAGTATGTTCCGAGAACATAGCAAACATCCCCTCCTACTTTCGCTGGCTCAGCCTTTACCGCAGCTTGATGTTCAGTATGATGGCTCAAGTCTCCCAAAGGTCAAGCCGCCGACCCCAGCTGCCACTCCTGTTCATCACTGGGACTCACAAGTCCTACCAAGCTGGCCCGACCCGTATCACAGTGTATGGAGGCACAATAAACTCGACACTATATCCAAACAACATGAATATCGGGTAGAGCATGGGGTGATCCTGGCCTACCACTGTTCCCCAGGTTCACATTACCATGCACCATTGCCGCTAAGGGACCATGGCGTTCCGAATCTCTATCTTTCTCAAGAAAAAGACCATTCCCTTGAGTCGACCTCCATACTTTGCTTCCCACCATTGAAATTCTGTCAGCTGAGACGAGTCGACTCATCCCCAATGTCCAACGTAGTTGAACATGTGCCGGGGGCTGATTCCTCGACAATGCAAACTGTCAATCCTGCGTTGGTATTTCCGTCAGCTTCGACAACTGCTTCTGAGACCTTGGATTTTACAGCAAGACTCCCCGCGGCCGTTGAAGTTGGTCCTATACCCCCGCATACCGGTATCGCCTCTACTTGGATGTTTGACCAGCCACAAGAGCAGTCCCAGGTACTCCATGACACCACGATGTGTGTAAATGACCATTCACTTCTTGACTGCCACGTTAATAGCAGGCAGCATGGCCATAACTTGAATGTTGAGAACCAGAAATTTGATATGCACGAGCGGAGGTTCAAATGCAAAATCATTGGCTGTAGAATGGACTTCAAGCGTAAGGGCCACCTCGAGCGCCACACAAGGAGTCACTTAAAAGAAAAGCCCTATGTTTGCTGGGTGCCTGGATGCCACCGTACCTTTTCACGCCGCGACAACCGTAAAGTCCATTGTACGAAGTCACATACGAGACGCGGTGGTCGCAACCGTTATATTGCTACCCTCGACGAGACGAGCCCCGACTATGATCCAGAGTTCCGTGGCCAGCTATCATTTGATGGACTCCCACTGAGGTTTCTAGCCCCTATTAACTCCGTCCCTGTAACTAAGCCTCTGCAACCGTGAATTTGTGCAGTAATAAACATCAAGGGCATATTTCCCCGACAACAAGCACGCGGAACTAAGTGACCTAAGTAAACCACCGTCATCCCAAATGGTCTGCTTATGATGCAGCTAGGGCAGGACCTGCGGCATAATTCCCTGTCGCCCTGCCAACCCTCAAGCTTCTCGCCCCTTGTTCATGTCTACGGGAATGATTTGTCGTCAAACATACAACTTTAAGAAACTCAGCGACAGCCTAAAGAGTGAAACTATGGCATTAAAACAAATCATCCTGCACCTGCAGTGCTTTGGCGAATAGGCACTGGTGTTGTGGGGTGGTAGGCGGGGGAATCTCAACGTGGAGCCTCGATGAGGGCACCATACAATCGACGGTGATATTTCGTTGGTCTTGGTGACAGAGTACCAGCACTTCACGATAATTGATTGCATTTCCCGAATCTTCTTGCTTGAGTAGTTAATATCTGTTTTGCTCTCTTTTTTACTCTGCAGCGTTGGAAATAATTCCCCCAGTATATCTAAACCTCCAACTACCTTTGCACTGCCAGTCCGAACTTTGCTGTCACTCCCCTACAGCAGCTACACAGGCAGGAAGTCGAATAAGGTGATGAATTTGGACAAAATGGTTCGTACGACTTGGTATTACGGTCATTTTGTGCTCACACCTTACTAGATACCGACTCCAATTTCAATATTCTGAGAGCCAAAGGCCCGTGACGAACCCATCAGTGATAATGAATTGTACAGTCGTAATGGGATAAAACCTCGCGATGCGGACGGCCAGAGGTTCGTACACCCGCCGTTCATGGTATGAAGCGATGGGGTCGAGGGCAGAAGACGCGATGGAGCACGCGTCGTAGTCCGATTCGGCGAGAGGACTCCCCATAAGGAGGTTTCACGGGCGGCGATGGGCTGCTCCTTTCTACAATGGCGTGAAGATCAGTAATGGCGTTCGTGATTTGGGGCAAAAAATTTGCACAAATAACTGGATATAGCGCAGCAGAAGGCGCGATATATCACTTACCCTATCAGGAAGACTAGACGTTTCAAGCTTCTACGCAGCGAAGCTCGCAATCGCATGTTCACACCCTGTTATTGGCCCGCTCCTTCGAGTTATATATTTTACCTAGGGTATGCTGTGTGGTATGAAGCGATGGGACAAGGTCTGGTGTATAGGCTATGGCTTTATACAGCACTAACGGGGTGCCATATCCTCGGGGCCACTCTGGTGCTGTGTCAATGGTTCACTGTCATGCATTAGCTTGTAGATCGGGGAGATAATACATGACTCACATGTTCGGGTGGCCAAAACTAGGGACGAAGAGACGACAAAGAGCTGTGGTCCTTGCGCTCGTGCAGTGCATGTTTCAGTACTGAGTCAAAGGGGGAGAACTTATCAAGTGCCTCAGACACAAGGCCTACTCGACTTTGCGTAGTCAAGTGATAGGATCGTAGAGCAAATTCTGGGGGTAGAAGACGTATTTATAGACTTCTCGGCTCGTCCTGTCGCGTAAGTGCTCTGCTTGGTAGGAACACCTCTCTTGTTTGAGGCCTTTTGAAACCAGTCTACTTTTTACTGCAACTATTTGCAGTAACAACTTGATGCCTTTGGATGCTCAGTGTGAGAGACGAGGAAGAGTTGTGTTGAGGGAAAGGATGGTGAGTTGGCTAAGAAACGTTGGCTGACTGTTGAATCCTTCATGGCCCTCTTAACTTTTGAGACAGTGCCCTCGATGACGGGCCTATATCCGATCGACATTGGATATTCAAAACGCATGATGATATTCCAGATTTAGAACAAGTAGGATCTATATTCTTCATCCCTTCGTCCATCAATTGACCTTCATAGCAGGCTATACAGCATCCCCAGATTCACACCTATGATGATTTTGAGCCTTTGCCTCCTTCCAGCCAATCGAGACGTTTGATTCCAACTAGCTCAGTGTTGGTAAGCACAAAGCCATGGCGCGCTTTGTGTTGGCCCATATAGAAGTTCACCTGCGACAGGACCTGCTTGTATTGTTCTTGAAAGAAGGGGTTCTGCGAATGCTGGTAGTCAGAACGCCATTTCCACGAGACCTTCATGTCTCCTGGGGCTCGGTTCGTGCTGTCGGCGTAGGTGCCTCCAAGAGTGACGAAGGCAGTGTCTGGTCGAAACTGGTCGACGTACGCTGCCGAGCCTCCGCCGTCAAAAGTGATCGGCGTAAGGCTTAATTGCTGAAGCTGGGCTGCTAGCTCCTCGAACCAGGCTCGAAGTGCGCGCCTAACGCGGGGTTGAAGCCGCTTAGCAAATCGAAGATGGAAATGAGGTTCATCCCTGATGGCGGCAGGAGGGGACCTGAAGGGATCGGATACGATTTGCTTCGAGTTCAAAATGCCGCCATATCGTCGAATAATCCTTGCATAATTGAAATCTGGCCAATCGACGACCTGGATTTCAGATCATACCACAACGCTGAACGTTCTGTAGAGGACGGCCCGACCGTATAAATATTCAAGTTTCATTACACTTCTCTCGGTTCTTCCATGTATTCAAAGCAAGATGATCAAGGGCGATGGTGCTGGTCAATTTGCTCATCAATAATGACTCCTGTCTCTAGAATTTGACTGATCTCCTGTATGCTGTGGGGTCTGTACGATGATAGGAATGAATCCATGTGGGTTCGCCACGGGCCGGCTATGAAACTCGGAAGTTGCAAGTTGTGCTCCTCGAATTCCTCGGAGAATTGTTTCAATAGGCTCACGAGATCCAGTATCAATGATTTCTCTTCATCGTGGATCTCTCTTATCTCCTCCGGCTTGATTTCTCTATACTCATGCAAGCAAGTATGAGTGAGATCCAGGCTCCAAAATGTGATGAAACGAAGTATGCCTGCACCCAAGTGGTTTTTATAGCGCTCGAGAGATATAGCGTCGAAGTCATCGAGCACAACGCTCAATAAATCTGCGAGTATCCGAACCATTTTCCTGCTGTCACCGCGGATCCTTGTAGGGAAAAGCCCGCCCAAAAGGGCCGTGAGTGGAGAGCATCCGGTCAGGGAGCATGCACACTCGCATTTATCTCGAGTATTGTCCAAAAAAATAATCTTTAACAAAGCCTTCGAGCTATCGCTCAGAGATTGAATCTCTAAATGATAGTCCTCCTCTTGATCGTTCGGTTGTAACCATTGTAAAATAGATCCAACACATTTCCCCAGAGTATGCAAAGCGGACCCAGATGGACCTTGGTGATGGACGTCAGCACCCTTGAGGATGAGCCAGTGAGCCTTTTGGAGGAATTCTTCCAGTGTACAAGGTGGCGTGGCTCGCCACAAATTTGTCAGACACGTTTTGTTATCTGTGACTCTGAAGCCGGCGTCGTATAGCCGGCTTGCCAGTTCGAGATTGATCCCAAAACAGTCAAAGGCTGACCACGTATGACGCTCCAAGAGATTTTCCAGATCCACGGAAGCGGCTGAAAGTAGTGTGTATGCTTCATAAGCATGCACGTTTAGGAGGGTATCAGATCTGATGTTCAACTGATCTATAACTTCTCTTGGCAAGTGTGCCACCGCTAGAGCCTGTAACCGCTTTCTGCGATCAATGAATGCGTTAACTATTAGATCCACAATAGCTGGATTGGGATGGAAACTAGCGAGTTCCAGATCCTCTTTTCCGATAAAGCACCTGTGATCATTGATCAATAGTCTAACGCTTTCCTCGCAGTTCGCTTCACATGCGGCAGTGAGTGCACCATCAATTGATGCATGATCGGATTGAAGAAGTAAGGCAAGACCAGGCGGCCACCGAGTATAAGATTTGATCCAGCGATAGACGTCATTGTCTCTTCTCAACTTCGCGGCCAGAAGTTTTTTTGATCTGTACGCAAGAGGCTGTAGCTCTTCTGGGACATCAATGTCTCGTATCGGCAACTTAGCTTTTTACTCTTTTCAATATCTTATCAATGCATTCATACCTTGAAGTCCCTTCTCATCAGCAATTTTCCAAACGAGGCGAAAGGTAAAATCTTCGAACAGATTATCAACTCTACGTCCATCCACTCGATGAGCATGATAAGCAGGGTTGAACCAATTTTCTTGGTGTCTCCAATCAAGGGCTGACCGAGTCATATAGCCTCCATACTTTAGCAGATCTGAACAGATATCAATTGTTATCTGGTGGTTATCCAAGTCGCTGAGTCCACCACCAAATACTTGGATCATGTTATCAGCGGGAGTCGCGCCACGATTATCGGTACGATCAGGAGATAACCCTGTCTGTAAAATGCTGTTGATAAATGATCGCCAGGTAAGCCGTGAACGTGTGTCCCATTGAAAACTGTAATGTTGCCACGCTGTCACTACCTGTAGTTATAGTTAGCGCAATTTCAGGGGTGAAGAGGCCCACTTTCTCCATCAAAAGGTTACTGGGACTGGAAAAAGCTTGCAATATACATAGCAAATTGTTACATACGTGTAGAATCGTATCGCCGTTGCCAAGTGCATCTGACATTGACGCTTTACCTCCACGAACTATTTCAAACAAGGCCTTTTGAGTATCTTTGATGATAGCAGAGACATCTTGGGTCTCCAAATTCTTTTCTGCACGGGAAAGTGCAAGGAATATCTCGGAGTTTGTTGGCACAATGGCTCGAAACTCAAGTCTGGGACTGATGGAGAAGCCCCCTGCTCCTCTTGTACTCGAGAAGGATGCCTCGAGTGATATGCGCACAGCCCATCTGCAAAAAATTCGACGATGAAGCAAAGTAATAACGGACTTGCTTTCGCCGTGAAGTTCACAGGTTGAACTGTCGGTGTGGGCTCTTCCCAGATATGCCGTATGCGTCCGGCTACCGCATGAACATTCTTTTGGACGACGAAATCGCTGAGGTATGACGGTTATATTCTGGTCGCCTGATTCCTTGTCTAGAGTTCTTTGGTGCTCTAATGCAGATTGCAGTAGGTGTGGTGTAAAAGCGGGTCGGACCTTCGCGTGGGTATTGTCGTCTTGCTAAGCGAATGCGTAAGTAGTGGCTCGAGAAGCGTGCTTTCAGGGTCTAGAATGAATAGCCATACCATCTGTTTGAGGTGATGTTCGATCATGTCTAATTTGTGCTCGATATTAACGCCGCGCTGATCAGACTTGCTAGCTACGCTTAGCATCTGACTAGTGTTGGTGGCGCTCGAGACAGAATAGGCGAGGACTGGGTCTGTTTGCTTTCGAATTAGGACAATCATAGCCCTTGATATGTTTGTCAGTGAGGATATTTGGGCTCTTGTTTATATATACTTACAAGGTCAAAACCTGCAACGAGGTATTGAGATTAGCTTGTAGCCAACTCATTGTGCCCAAGAGCGTTACCAGAGTTTCACGCTTGAAAGGGTACAGCATCCTGTTTATCTGGATTTTGGACCCCAAAAAGCTCTTAGTTGATGGAGAGTTTCTGCATTTGTCCAGCATGTTCTTCAATCTTTTTAAGCCTTCTTGGCAATTGAAAATGCTATCCAGTGCGACAGTCGCAGATTGAGCCGTCTGGGTGGAAGATAAACTTTGAGCCTTAGCAAGCACATCCTCCAACGCCTTTAGAGTGCTGTTGAAGCTTTTAATGCGGTTCGAGACATCCTGCATTTGCTCATCATAATCTTTGAATGGCCCGTAATAAGCCAGTAGGCCCTGGCAAACCGTGAGGCCGAGGGAGATGACCCCGACCGCGCTCCCGGTCACAGAAAGGGGGTCTGTCATTTATAACCTTACTTAGTGAGTCTCAATGCGATTTGTTGAAGTGGTTGAGTTCAAGGAGTTTGAAGACCGAGACTAGTCTCTCCTAATATTTGAAGGAAGAAAGGAAGCGGCTGACTCCATGTGAAGCCTAGCCGCCCATGGCTACCGACAGTCTGTTTCGGCCTAAGGGGCCAGTGCTGTGCCTAGGCCAGTACAAGTTACGATTCTCAGCCTCGTCGCTTGACCGCCTCCTGACTAGATAAGGGCTCGTCTCTTTTCTCGCCTGAGGCAGATCGCGCCTGTCAGGTATACATTACGAATACTGCCTGAGACCGGAATAATGGATGCTCCGAGCACTCAAAGTAGTCATGGGTGTATAGCATAAATGGCTAGGTAATAGGGGTAATACCAGACAGAGTCCTGGACATCTCCAATTGGCCGATTATAGTACGGGATCCAACAGCGCCGCAAACTCGGCGTCTACTAGCGAAGGTTCATCTAGAATTTCAATAATGGTGATGTGCAATAGTTTCAGTATCCGTAGATCGTGACCCATTCTCAGACTGTTATTTTCCTAAGATATATGTATTATTCTGCTTCCTCGCTACAATCCGCCAAAGCATTAGCCTTGCCAAACTTGCCCCTGCGACTAGTGTGTAACAGATCCTATGGGACTCCCACCATAGGATTTGGGACTTGTCGTCATAAGCGGGAATGGGAATAAGCGTCAGTCCCATCTATGGAACTAAAAGAGTGACGGGATATACAGTCGGGGAAATCAGATAGGCACGGGCCGTCATGGCCAACATGACTGTCCAATACATAAACAGCGGCGGTCCTCTTCGACGGCGTGTGATAAGAAGTTTCGTGGCGGCGTAGACTTCCATTATCTAACTCCAAATAATTCCATCCAATTGCTTGGAATATGTCACAGGTGTCTTGCTGTTCTTGGGTAGAGGCATGGAGATGCCAAGAAACCGGCGTTTCAGGTGGACCAAAGCGACCCAATAACAGTATTTTGTACTTCACCTAGGAGGGTCAGTGCGGAAATCGCGCAACAGAGGGTGATTATCACCTGTGGGGTAGGTGGCCTCCAGCGAATTTATATTCAATAACAAGTTTGATTCTCCTAGGCGGCCCTTCTTCTTTTTCTTTCCCACTGTCATTTGAATCCAAGGAGGACATGTGTCGACCGGTAGAAACTAGTTCCAGAGAGTTGTGATCAAAACAACAGGCCTGAGAAAAAGTCAGCATGGGAGGGGAAGGACACGTCAGCGGTTCAGGGGCGTGCAGGATATTCAGGTGTAGAATAGTGGTGTTCAGGGCATTCAGGTGAATGGGCTGAAGGGACTGAAGAGTAGGGCGGCAAGAGGGAGTTTCCCAACGAATCAAAAAAAACGGGTGAACACGGACATACAACAGTGAGGATTCGCTGGTGGTCACCCACCCAACTACTAACTCACCGGCGTGTGGCTTAAGTACGGCTGAGCGGACGGGAAGCCCTGTTTTCCACACCCTATGGTCGTATGTGTTAGGTTATTGGTGGGAGAGAAAGATATAACAAGTAGTCGAGTATCTATATTGATCGGCGACGGCACCATTCACACTCCCGTGACCAACTTTCTCCGCGCAGTCAAAATCACGACCATCCTACTCACTTCCCCTACTCTGCTACAGGACACCAATCATAGTTCCCATTCTCGTTATTTCCCCACCACGATGGGAATGGGTGCGAAACCCCACCAGCCCCGAAAACTGCAAATGAGAGGATGAAGAGGACCGTCAGACTAGCGCCATCAAAAGCTCCCGTAATCAGATATGAATAGTCCCTGAAAATTCGGGGTCGATAGTTCCGAAGGTAATATTGAACGTAAAACCCGGCGACAATCCAGGTGAAAATGACGCAGGTCTGGCTTTGGTTGTAGGGAATATAACCGGCGTATTGGATGAACTGCGGTAGGTTGATCTCCGAAGTGTCGAACTTTCCGATTTTGGGCACAAACTAAAATTTAAAAGGGCGTTAGTTTCAAGTAGAATAGGGAAGGGCCCGTGCTGTGGGATTACTTACTTGATAGAAGATACGGTGAATAACCACAGCAGCAGCGCCAGCGGCTAAACCAACAGGTACAGCCCCGTATGGGGTACCAATCTTATAGATATAGGGAGCCAGAGCCCATGATGTGGCATTAGTGTTGTAAGATTGTACAGTTGCACCACTCCAGGAGGAGTTTCCGTTACCATCGACGAGAAGCTCTCGGTTGCTTGACACAATAGAGTTCATAATGGCGTAGTTCACGAAACCACCAAGAATTGTGCCATATAGTTGTGTTAGGAACATGATGCGTGGAGGGATCTTGACTATAAGACCAGTTAAAAAAAACATATCATATGTCAGGTTTCAATCACAGAACGACGGAGATACTCACGGTATTCGCCCATCTTCAGATCACTGGAAAGATTAACTGCATTTGAAATGACGTTATGTGACCAAGCAGCGAAGTACATGTTACCGACCGGGCGTCCAGGAAGGATGAGTCCAGCCAGCATCTTTGACAAGTTGTTGGTAGCAATACCATTACCGTAGCGAGAATAGAGGATGACACTCTATAGCACGGACATAGTCAGCATCGCGGCGTTAAGATCAGTATCAAAGACCTTGTACTCACGAATGGTGCGAGAATGCATCCTAGTAGCAGTGAGATAACATATGCCCAAACCGACAAAGTGATATTCTCTTTCACGGTCACAATTATGCCGAGAATAAAGCTGCCAACAAGCACGATGATATACCACCACCACGGAGCCTCTTTGTAATGCTTGGCCATATGCGCATGGTGCCGATCATCATATCTGCCCTCTCTTGCGCTTTTATAGGCCCGCCGGATATCCTTGCCCCAAAATAGGATGCAATGAACGATCAGCGCACCCATTGCTGCGTTGGCCATAAACATCGCGAATGCGAACGTCCCAGTGATCCTCGGCAAGCCATGTTTAGCCAGAGCGACCTCATCGAGGATACCACCAGGGAAAACGTCGCCCAAGGGGTATGCGGTGCCATTGTTCGTGAGCAGTCTCGTCGACATGAACGGAAGTGATCTCGAATTCCAGCCATTGCCGTAATATATGCCTATCATGATAATGAAACAGGAAAAGAGTCCGGCGGCCTGATGAGCTTGTAGTTTGAGAGGGAGCGATGTTTGCGCAGATGTGAGCTGCTTCTGTTAGCTGACTTCCTAGATCAATGCGTGGACATGGGGGGACATCATCTCACATATTGCCAATCGAACGAAAACGAGAACAGGCCCAGACCCTGATTGTTGGTGGCTCCACCAAAAACATTGTTGAGCACGGCAGCAGTTTCACCAGTGGCCTTTTGTGCAGCCAGACACTGTAAAGTCGAAAGTCAATAACTTTTGTTCCGACGCATAATCACGAAAGGTCATCCGAAGAGAGCAAACGTACCGGAATAGAAACAGAGTTTAGCCACGGGAAGATGTAGGCA